GTCTGGCTGTAGGCTACTTCGGGTGTGTCAAGCTGTTGTTCTCTGTAGGCTTGGAGTGAGAGGATGTTTGGCTTAAGCTACAGTTGTGAGAAATGTGATCTGCTGGTGGGTTTGGTTTGTTGGTTTGTTCTGTTTAGAAGGTCTGCTGGCTGGAGTGTGGTGCAGCTGCAGTTGTGACTTGGTGGTGGGAGACTTGTTTGCTTGTTTAATTTCTGAGGCCTGGAAGCAAGGGTGCTGCAGTATCCAGGTTTCTAGCAGGACAGTATGCTGCTGGTATGCGGCTGGTAGGTTGCTTCTCTGCTACTGCTGGTATGGCTGTAGGGGTTGGATGAAGTGTATCAGGATTCCCAAATGGATGTAGTCTATCAGAGTCCCCTAATACTGCTCTGTCCTTGCTTTTTCTTTTCTTTTTTCTCTATTCTCTCTGTTCCCTCTATTGGTTTCTCACTTATTTAGGGTCTTCTGCTTTCTTGCTCTTCTATCTTTGTTGATGTATGTTTGTATGTCATACTTTCTTCATCAATAAAGTTGCCTTTTGTTGATCAAAAAAAAAAAACTTTCAGCTTAAGCTGATTTCCAGCTTATTCTTAAAGCATCTCCTGCCCCACTCAAAGAATAAGCTGATTTCTGACTTCCACAAAGCTATAAGCTATAAGCTATAAGCTAAACCAAACACATCAAAATAGCTTAAATTAAGCTGAAAGCTGAAATAAGCTGCAAATAATTTCTGCCAAACAGGCACATTATACAATTAAGTTTTTATATTTCTCTTTCTTGCTTCCTTGTAATTCCTTTTGTTTCTTAAAATAGACTTCTTAAACTAATTTTTGGGTTTTATTAGTCAGAATTTTTTATTTTAAGAAGTATTGAACTTGAAAATTTAAATTTATTCTACCTACCTTGAATGGATGTTCCAAGACAAATATTTTTGAAAGAATTAAGAAAAGTGTGATTTGAATCGATAGAGCGACTGTTACTGTTTTCATTGTAATCTAATTTACTAATGTTCTATCATTTATCCAAAAAAAAAAATCTCATATTTGTGTACGGCAAGTACATTCGTATACTTGATATATATTTCTCATGTGTCATAGTTATAATACTGAAAAAAAAAATTTCATCTGTAATATAATTATTTTAAGACTATTTCTCATATTTTTAATTTCCCTATAGAAAATGTAGTTTCATTGATTCCAATATGTATAGTACTCATTTTGTTTCCAAAAGGTAATGGGTGTATAAAGTATCAACCATCAAAACCGAAGAGAGAGAATCAATAGACGACACAACACCTCTTTCACTTGGAGGCATCATTTCAATCCATCATTTCAATCCTTCTAAGTGTTTTGGTTTACGGCAAGTTCAATTTAAGGGTGAGCTAAATACTAGTCTAGCCTAGCCTAGGAAGTGGATTTACTGCATGTCCGGTAGTGTTATGTATATAGTGGACATTAGAATGAACCTAATCTTATCTAGGACTTCTATAAAGAAAGCATAAATGGCACTTATGCATACATTATATTGTATACAATTATGGTATGACAGAGAAACAAGGCAGGTTTAGACCTTTCTTTTATGAATTCTCATCATTTATTTAAATTCTAACTTTTAATTGGACTACTAAATGTTTCATGTTCCAGTACGTATAGTTATTGGTTATCCTCTATTCTTTAAATTTTAAAGGCAGCGATTATCTTATTTGTCACCCCCAAGTCTATTTTTATGTATATTTGTGTTGTACTATAACTCGAAAAATCTTAAAGGCAACGATTATCTTATTTGTCACCCCCAAGTCTTTTTTTTTTTTTTGGTAAACAGGAACTAAAATAAATTAAGTAGGACAGTACAAAGTTCTGGGATAACTAATCCCCCAAGTCTATTTTTATGTATATTTGTGTTGTACTATAACTCGAAATTATTTTGAAGCTGTCAATTTTTTTCTTCCAATAGTTTTAAATTTAATTCATTCTTCTTCATTCGTTACATTATAAATTAAAAAAAAAAAACTAAACATAAAATTGTAAACGCATCATAGTACTCACTGCTAATATATATATACACAGCAGAGTAGGAAGGGGGAAAGATAATAATAATGATAGTGACAATGACAGAATGATGGAAGAGTGAGTGTCTTTAATGCATGGTTTGGGGTGCATTCATCATAGGATCCATAACCCATCATATGAACTGTTCAATAGCAGAGAAGGGTGTCCATGCTCTCTCCTCCTCTATATGCAGAACAGAGAGAGAGAGAGAGGGGTTGGGGTTGGTTTGAAAACGGATTGACTTTTGATTATTTTAGTTTAGAGTTAAAAAATTTAGTATGGAAAGAGTTATTTTTATTTTTTTAATATTTTATGAGAGAAATAATGTAATAATTATAGGTTAGATGTGATGTTTTATTTTATTAAATTAAAAAATCTATTTTATTTTTTTTAATTAAAATAACCCCAAATTCAACCCAACCCTTCTTCTCATACGAAGCCTCAGTGATGTTAGGAGAAAAGTGAAAAAGGATTGATGTGTTCTGGAAAAGAATGGCATGGTAGATTTCTAGTGGATATTATTTGTAGGGCAGTGATTGATAGTTTTATGTATAGAGTTCTAAATGAAACTCTATATATGTGGTATTAAAGAAATAAAATAAAATAAATAGATAAAAAAATCATATCATAAGTGGGTCCAATTTATTAGAGCTTTCCTAGGTCTGGTTTGTTTTCAAAAGTAGAATGGAGAAAATTCATAGTGAAGGGATTATTATTGTGTTTGTTTTATGATAGTTGTTAGTATAGGAATTGTTAAATTATTTTTATATAAAATAACAAAACAAATAAAAAAATATAAAAAATTAAACATTAATGTTTAAAAAAAATTCCCAATATGTAAAAAATAAAAAAATTTCTAATCCCTTTACTACTTTTCTAATACTACCTCCTCCTCCTCCATTTTAATCTCGCTTTCAACCTCCATCTTAATCCCCTCTTCTATCATAATTTCTTCCTCAACTCTACAAATAAGCACAACACTAAATAACACCACCTCCATCCTAATCCCCTCCCATCCATTACACCCCAAAACAAACAAGGTCCTAGAAACTTTTTTTTTTTTTTTTTTTTTATTTTTATTTTTTGGTGTGCGTGTGGACATCGGAAAATCTAGAGCTCTCATTTTTTAAACACCAAAGCATTTCTGTTATTTGCACTACTAATTTTAGCATATATATATAAAAATTCAAGTACAATAAAACATTTGGCCAGCTAAAGGTAAGGGACACATAGATGCATAGGCGTATGGCCTTGGGGAACTGTCCGTATGGTTTCGGTGAATTTGAACGTGCAATTTAAGCCAAAGCAGAATAATCCAGCCACCCAAGAGGCCTCTCTGTGTCTTTTTGTGTGTTCATTTATTTTAACATTTTTACACACAACTGCTAATAATTCTGTGTCGTGGTTTATAAATTAAGATTGTATTTGATTCATAGATTTAGAGAAGAAATTAAAAAATAAGAGAAAAAAGATAGATAAAATATGAATAAAATATACTTATATTTCACTTAGTTTCACACATCTTTTCCGTTTTCGTTTTTCTTTCCAAATCTTCTCAAATCAATGAAATAAACAGAGACTAAGAAATTTAAAAATAAAAAGAAAAAACGTGAATAGAATCTAATTACATCTCACGTACTTTTTTCTTTTCACATATTTTTTCTTTTTAAATCTCTATCAAAATTCATAAATAATAATACATCTAATAATTCTGTGACAAGAGTATATTAAATTCTGTACATTTAGAATTATTGTAATTTTATTTGTGGTGCAAATAGTTTGATTGTACCACTTTTTCCCATCAGAAGATTATCCAACACAAATAATTTAGTGAGAGAGAGAGAGAGAAAGAGAGTACAGCTTTGTCACAAAAGCTTTAAATTTTTCTATTCTGTATATATATAGTTTGGTACGTCAACAATAATGCTACTCCAGACGCGCACTCACCCACCCCAAAGATGCCTTCCTCCAATTGCCAAAACTTGAAACACTCTAGTCTAGGAAGACTAAATAAGTGTACTTTTTGACTTTTTATAAAATATGGGTTGGGTTTAGGTTGGATTTGAAGTAATGTGTTAGAGAGGTTATGTGACTTAAATAAGATGATGTGACTTAAATAGGATAGCGACTTTTTGATTTTTTGTCTTTTTTTCAATCATGCCAAACTTGGTACCACAAATAATGCAGTTGTTTATATAACCCGATCATCATCACATAATCAAATACAATTCTCTTATATAGCATAAGACCTGCAATGTCATCTTAAATGAGAGAGTTATGCTTGATCAGATATCACACTGTGTTATATTTCTTCTCTCTACATGTTTCCACTTAAACGTTATCATTCGGTTCTAAGACTTATGGTGCAGCCTATAAGCCCACTTGGCCGGTTGGATTTTTACTCTGCCCAAACCCATAACCTAGGCAGGTTGGCCAGCTTGAATTTGGCTTTGATTGCGCTACGCCCCCAAGTGTTGAAACTCAGACCAACTAGCTGGCCTGTGACTCTGTGAGAGATGGCTCGTTGGCCTAGCCCGGCCCTCCACCCAAAAAAAACAGGTATAACAAACACATGAAGAAAGTGAAGGAAAATAAGAGGGCAAGTAGGGCTGTAAATGAACCGAACTGTTCATGAATAAGCTCGGCTCGGCTCGGTTCACTCGTTTATCTTTATTTAAATTATATAATAAATATATTATTTATGTATTAAATAATATATAAATATATATAAATACATTTTTTATATATTAAATAATATAAATAATATTTTTTATTTAAATATTTATATTTAAATAATATAAATAATATTAAAAAAAATTATCGAGCCGAGCCGAGCTCGAGTTTCATTAAAATTAACGAACCGAGCCGAGCTCGAACCCAGTTTCTTATCGAGCCGAGCTCGAGCTCAGCAAAGCTCAACTCGGCTCGGTTCATTTGCAGCCATAAGGGCAAGTGTTTTCAAATCCGTGAGAGACTTATTTTTCACAAACTATGCTCATTTACAAGAGTACCTCCGATCAAACACTAGCCTAAAAAAACAACAAAATTATACAGTTTGTGAAGTTTCCCTGGCTATGGTTTACCTATGGAGGGAAAATATCATACATTTGCACAAGCTAACAATAACAACCCTCATAAACCCAAAAATTACATGAATGAAAATTAAATCAACAAATCACACTCTCTCTCGCTCTCTCTCAGATGATGTAGAGAAAAAAATTTAAATGCTCCGATCACATATCGCAGTAAAGGTCATGGTTGCACAAGATGAGGTTCCAGATGACATGGTCAAATTCTCAAGGTTGCCCGAGCTAGAAGCAAAATTGTAGTTTATGTTGTTCATATCGGGCGTAGCTTTCCGGGCGCTTTTAACTTTGAGGTCCATGAAATCAGTGATTAGGGCTGGCTTTGTAATCTCATTTTCATTAATGTCAACCTCACCGATTAACATCTTGACCACAGTTGACATGGATGGCCGGAGCTTTGGAGTGTCTTGGGTGCAAAGAAGACCGATCTTTAAGAATCTGCAAGCTTCTTCAGCATCAAAATCCCCATTTAATGCCGTGTCTACCAACCCCACGAGCTCCCTTCTCTCAAAAAGATCCCATGTCTGCAACAAAACAAAATTCTCATTTTCATCAACCTTGTCCAAAACTATTAAATTGATTCTGCATGATTTCACAACATTAAATACAGCAGAAGCCATAATTAAAATGTATGAAATTGTATTATTCACACCAAAAACATAAAAGGAATTAAAAATTAAAAAAAATTCCATCTAAGTTTTTGTTCAAAATTCTCATTTTCATCAACCTTGTCCAAACTATCAATCTGAGTTTTTGTTCTAAAAAATAAATAAATAAAAACAGCGTTTAAAACAGCATAAAGGGAAGAAGCTTGGCCATATCTTATTTTCCTATGCATTTCATAGTTTCCATCAGCATCTACACTATGGTTTTTATCCACTTTACAAATGAGAGATTTCTTAAATTTTATGATCTGAGTTGTCATGGACTATTGTCATTCATTAATATAACGGGCACATGTAGTCACCACTTCATGCAAAAAGATTGACCAATCTAGTGGAAGCTATGAAAAACTTCATACCCTTTCAAGAAGATACTGTTCTTCAACAGGTAATCGTGTATTTGTGTTGCATCTCCCAGTAACTATTTCCACAAGGAGAACGCCAAAACTGTATATATCTGCTTTACGTGTCAACTGCCCTCTTATTGCGTACTCTGGTGCCAAATAACCTCTGAAACAACAAATACGAATGTAAATTCAAGATGGTAAAATAATTGGAAAGAAGGAATATAAGAGAATTGAATCTAGATTCCACAAGTGTTTTTAAGCAGAAGGATAATGGATTCCCATGATCACCTGCCTTTCTTGTGCGCCTACATAAAAGAGTTGTGGCCTCTGGTTAGGTTTAACAGTGGTCTTATTTTTTTTATTCTTTTTAGAAATTAAAATAAAAATAACTGTGGCCTCTTAAAAGCAAGCAAGTGGTTGGAATTTGTTGGCGGAATGGTTTGCAGAGTTGCCTCTCCAGCCATAATGTACAAACCTTAAAGCCAAAGTGTTTGATTGTGACTATTTAAAGAATCTCTTCTTTTTCGGGTACATCAGAGGCCATAGCCTTGGAGAGGGGGGGAGTCTTGCATGTGGCAAGACTTGAACCCTTGACCTCCTAGTAAGGTATAGGAGTTTCGGTCAACTGAGTTACCCTAACTGGTCATTAAAATAAACTCTGCTCATGAATCATGCTCATGATATCAGAACTCAGAAGTAGGTTTGCTGGTACAAAGGATGTTAAACGACTCAAGACCTGGTAGAATCGTCACTTTCAGATAGAATTTTAGAGTTCAGATGCAGACCATGTAGTCTGTTGGTGGTGTTTGGCTGGTGGGCTCTGTATCATATCTTTGTAGGTATGCTTCCTGAGCAGCTTGCTTATTTTTTAGGCTCCATAGAGAGAGAGAGAGAGAGATTTTAACTATTGATGAATGTTAATTACAAAATGTTTTGTACTGAAAAAACAATTTGTAGTTAGATTGATGGGAAACATTTCATTACAGCCTAGCTGCACCAAACGAAGATCCCATGTTCATTGCCTTGTTCAAAGAAATGGAGTCAGCAAAGTTGAAGCATAGGAGGATTGAAATTTTTAGAAGTCGTAGCAACATAAACAAAGCAAGAGTCCACTATTGATGGTAGTTGATAGTAGTTACATTTCAAGGAGGCAAAGACACCATAATTTCTACCCAAAAGATTCCACCAATGAATCTCCTTCATCAACAAATCAACGGAAAATAACTGCCTACTATCTAAACAATTCAACAACAAAAAAGTTGCATGATTTAAAGACAACTGATTAAGTTGCCATTTCTTTCTAGACATCATGTCCATGACTGGGGATTAGTTGATATCAAACCAATAACCCATCTTGTGCAAGTCACTATCTCGAGTACAAATGCAATGTATGTGTTTTGCTAATTTCTCTAAGAACATAATCAAGATGAACTCTTATGATTAGATAGATTAAAAAAATGGATGCATTAGTGTTAGAACTTACATCGTTCCTGCCACACGGGTACTGACATGAGTCATGTTGGCTGGGATAAGTTTTGCTAGACCAAAATCTGAAATTTTGGGTGTCAAGTCTTTGTCGAGGAGAATATTGCTAGCTTTGATATCTCGATGAACGATATGTGGTCGCACACTCTCATGAAGAAAGGCAAGTCCCCGTGCAATCCCAACACAAATTCTAGTTCGTGTTCGCCAACTAAACTGGATGCTACTGTAACTTCCACCTGAAAGCCAAGGTCATTGGATGAGTATGATGATGATGCTTTAAACCTAAAGTTTGTAAATCCTACTAACAAAATTTACGCTTTTATGCCAATCCAATAAGTGTAAGGACTACCAAACTAAGAACGGATAGATGGAATTACCAATAAGTGTTTGCGCAAGGCTGTTATTCTCAAGGTAGTTGTAGACCAGAATTCTATGATCTCCTTCCACACAACAGCCATAGAGCTTGACTAAGTTTTCATGCTCTATATCTGAAATCACTTTAATCTCTGTCAAGAACTCCTTTACTCCTTGTCTTGATTCAGGTGAAAGAACCTTTATAGCAGCTATATTCCCATTTTTAAGCCGTCCCTAAACATCGATAAGCAAATTTTATTTGAAAACAAGGTGTTGGTCTACAGAAGCAAGACCATAAATTACTATTTTATTATATGATGATAAAGTAAGCATTCTTGTGGAAATATGTAAACCAAATATACGCCTATTACCTTATAAACAGAACCAAAACCACCCTCCCCAATTTTATTGGCATGACTAAAATCATCGGTGGCAGTTCTCAGCTCTTTATATGTGTAGAGATTAACATTGTTGACACCTTGAAGCTCTGCTCATGATACACTATCAGGACCTTTTAGATACTCATGCTTTTTCAAGCATATATATAGGTCAATTAACAAATAAATTATCTGATAAAAGAGTCACAAATCCTATCTGTTAGAAGTTCAAATATTTCAAAATTTTATGTCCATCAGAGTTTACCTGCATCGAATTGAGTAGACAGTTTTTCTGATTTGTCCCTCCTACCGCATAAAAAAGAGAAACAAGTCATTACTCTGGAATACACCAATGACCCGCCTTTTCTACCGCACTTTCTGACAAATGATTAAAACAAAAACAAAACCTGCCAAACCAAATCATAGAGAGGCATATGTCATCCCAAATACGAAATTCTACATAATAAAAGGTTAAAAAGTTACAAAAAAGGTTTTCAAACTCTCAGGAGTCGAAATATTTTTGGTTGTCCAAACGCAGGACTAATTTCCAGAAATTGATGGAAGTTGAAAATACAGCATAACATAACTACTAACAAAACAGAAATGCTCCACATTCTAAAAAAAAAAACAAAACAAAACAGAAATGCTAGCCACCACCCATTTGGTTAATGTTGGTATATATGCAAAAATTGTGTTGAAATATGTAAAAAAGTGTATAAAAATGTAAAATATTTATAGAAACTATTTTTTTTTTTACATTATTTAATTCGAACGCCCAGTGGGCGGCGGTCTACAGAACACTTAACAAAAAACAAGATTCCTTGGGAAAACATTCATAAACACAAAAAAAATTATTTGTGCCCAAATCAAACCAAACCAAGCCTTTAAGGCCATAAATATATTTATCTGCAGTAACCTTCTCTCTCAAAGGGTAAGGTTATAAATATCATTTCAGCAATGATTCAAAGCACTAATTTCGGTACTCTAATAGAACACTAATAACATGGTAAGGAGAAAAAAAAAAAACAAACAAACAAACCAACCAAGACCATAACATCACATCAGAGTAAGTGGGATCCACCGCCAGCTCATTAGAACTGACTTCAGAGCTCATTAGAACTCCAAAGCATTTTTCTACAAATTTTGGGGTTGTGGCACTGAAAAATTTAAGGGAAAATGGAAAACCAAAAAATTATCAATTGATGAAACCCAGATTTGTGAAAACCCAGCAGATTAGTCTTGTTGTGACTCAATCTGACCCTTGAGTCTATTGTGTTCTCACAAATTATTAAGCATTGCAACCAACAAGAACAATCAATATAGAAAGCTTGATTACAATTGATAAACACTATGAATCTGCAAGTGAACTTACATTCTACTCTCACAACAAATCAATAGAAAACAGTTTAATATATGCTTCACACAACACCTATGATTAGAAAAATAGAAATCTAAGAGATTGAAAGCAAACCAAACAAAATTAAGAGAAACCCTGATTTGAAAGTACCTTAGAAATCCAGAGAAGAATGAAGCAGAAGGGCGTTTGCGAGTCGAGGGTGCGCAGGTTAAGAAATTTGTGGGATTCAAAGAATTTAGGGGAGGGAGAGAGAGAGAGGAGACCAGAGACTACTATTATTGAATTTTGTAGGTAGTCTTTCCAAAGTAGTTCACCGAAAAAAAATTAATTAATTAATCTTTCCAAAGTCCACGAAGGGATGCTTACGCTGTCCTTGAATTGTCTCTCTCTAAGGAGTGGTTTAAGATGTTTTAAAAAAGTCTATTTTTTTGATTTATTGATTTATATGGGGTTAGGGTTGGGATTAGATTTGGATTGAGTTTGATATGATGTATTAGAGAGGTGATATAATTTAAATAAAATAATATAACTTAAATAAGCTCATTAGAACTGACTTCAGAGCTCATTAGAACTCCAAAGCATTTTTCTACAAATTTTGGGGTTGTGGCACTGAAAAATTTAAGGGAAAATGGAAAACCAAAAAATTATCAATTGATGAAACCCAGATTTGTGAAAACCCAGCAGATTAGTCTTGTTGTGACTCAATCTGACCCTTGAGTCTATTGTGTTCTCACAAATTATTAAGCATTGCAACCAACAAGAACAATCAATATAGAAAGCTTGATTACAATTGATAAACACTATGAATCTGCAAGTGAACTTACATTCTACTCTCACAACAAATCAATAGAAAACAGTTTAATATATGCTTCACACAACACCTATGATTAGAAAAATAGAAATCTAAGAGATTGAAAGCAAACCAAACAAAATTAAGAGAAACCCTGATGTGAAAGTACCTTAGAAATCCAGAGAAGAATGAAGCAGAAGGGCGTTTGCGAGTCGAGGGTGCGCAGGTTAAGAAATTTGTGGGATTCAAAGAATTTAGGGGAGAGAGAGAGAGAGAGAGAGAGAGGAGACCAGAGACTACTATTATTGAATTTTGTAGGTAGTCTTTCCAAAGTAGTTCACCAAAAAAAAATTAATTAATTAATCTTTCCAAAGTCCACGAAGGGATGCTTACGCTGTCCTTGAATTGTCTCTCTCTGAGAAGTTGTTTAGGATGTTTTAAAAAAGTATGAGTATGTTTGGTTTGTGTTTTAGAGATGTGTTTTAGAGATAAAATGTATGAAAAGTTGTTTGGTTTGGTTTTTTTCAAAAGATGTTTTGGAAAATTATTTTGAGAGAGTTTTGGAAAAAGTGATTGATTTGATGTGTGTGAGAGAGAGATTTGTTTGGAAAACTTGTTTGGTTTACAAGTTTTGAGAAATTTTTTTGAGAAAACTTGTTTGGTTTGATTACTTTTAAAAACTTATTTGTAGAGAAAATTTCCCAAAATTTTTTCAGAAATACAAACCAAACGAACTCATATTTTTTGATTTATTGACTTAGAGCATCTCCAATGCACTAGGCATATAATATTTGTTAGGTAAAATGCCTAGTATGACTCACTTTTTTCAACTCCAATGCACTAGGCATGTAATTAGGCATTTTAGCTCAACTCAAATTCACTAGCTACATGTAGCTAGCCTTCAAGGCTAGGCAAAATGTATTTAATCATTAGGATTAGTTCCCTCCATCTTTGTTGCTGATGTGGCATTTTATAAAATTAATAGTATTTGGATGAATAGTTAAAATAAAGAGCATGGTTGGAGCAGAAATATAAAACAGTTGATAGGCAAAATAAAATGTATACTTTATAGTAATATTTAGATAGGTAAAATGCCTATTATCGTTGGAGATGCTCTTATATGGGGTTAGGGTTGGGGTTAGATTTTGGGTTAAGTTTGATGTGATGTATTAGAGAGGTGATATAATTTAAATAAAATGATATGACTTAAATAGAATAGTGACTTTTTAACTTTTTGTATTATTTAATAGATGTCAAACTTAACCTAAATATCTGATCCATTTGAGAGCGAGTGAGACTAGCAATATCGTGCGTGGAGTTTTTAGGACAAATGCACGTAAATGTCCAATTGGAAAATCATTTGGTGGTATGTGACAAGTTTGGTCACATACGATTTCAATTTGATATTTATAAAAACATTTTTTTACATTTATTTAAAATACGTATTATTTCTAATAATTTAAAAACTTATAAATATCTTTTTATTATAATTTTTTATTTAATATGATTAATTTAAAAAAATTATTTATTTTTCTATATAATAAAATTACTTAAAATTTTAATTGAAATATATGTCTAATATCAATAAAAATTGTTATGATTTATTAATAAAATAGACAATTTGTTATGAAATTAAAAATTTCAAAGGGCATGTAATTTTCAAAATTATAGAGATAATTCATATTTCAAGCAAATTTTAAATATTCTATTTATAATTTATCCTTATTTTTTATTAAATTTTTAAAAAATAATAAGATAAGTGTCGGACTTTAATTTTTGACTTGCTTAATTCTCAATTCAATATTAGTATTTCATAATATTAGTTCAAAGTGGGTCTATGCGCAAATAATTCTGGAGTGAAAAGTAGTTGCCTCAAAAGGATATTTTTTTTAGGTAGTTTTAATTACCATATGTCAACTATTTTTTAACTTAGGCTTCGTTTAGCAATTGATTTTTTGATTAAAAAAATATAAAAAAATAAAATTAGCTAAATAAATTAATATGATAAAATATCACATTCAAATCATAATCATTTTACTTTTTCTCTTGCAAAAGTCAAAAAAATCTCAAACTAAAATAATAAAAAAATTAAAAAACTAATAACAAAAAAAAAAAAGAGCCTATTACCAAACCACTATTTATACAGATTGAGTGAGCATCTGTGAAATATTTTTATTAATCTCATAGGTCAAAGTGGCTTTCCTATAGGCTTACCAAAATAATATTATTATGCTCAAACTATTTTTGAGATAATGTATGACTTTCCAATTGTATGATTAACTGTTTCAATTTTTTAACATGGAAACTGTTATTGTCAAAAGCATGTGCTTTTCCACGATTAAACCTTTCACACACAATAGGAGATGGCCTTACTTATGTGAAAAGGAAAATTGCCCATGAGGTGGGCTACAAATAGTTCGACAAATAGAATTGACTTAAGCAATCTTAAATATTTTTTAAGGGCAAATTGCCTCCTCTAAGTCCATATCCTTATCTTATATTTTACATTTGGCTGTAACCAAATGAAATAAGAAAAGAAATAAGCCATTAAATCTTTATGAAATTAGCTTTTCACTATCAATATGTAAAATTGGAGTTTGACGAATAAAATTGGCTTAAGTAATTTTAAACATTTTTTAAGGGCAAATTGCCTCCTCTAGGTTAATATCCTTATCTTAGAACATCCGCATCAGCCTCAATAAATTTTGAGTCAAATTATAACTCAAAATTCATTTTTATTATTTTAGCTAGTCATCTTTTTAATACTCACTACATCAAACTCTCTATTCTAACTCAGTCTTATTAAAATATTATTTTCTTATTGTATTTGTTATTCTTTATTTTTTTATTAAATTGATGAGGTGTCATCCAAACAATTCTTAAAAAATACAAAAATACAAAAAAAAAAAAAAAAAAAAAAAGTTGTTGTTGACCAGTTGACCGGCCAGTCGACTAGTTAGTCTAATTTTCGACATTTTTTGTTCTTCTACTAGAGGCACTCACGAGACATTTGGTGGCATATTCGGGAGGACATCCGGGTGGACAACCGGTTTAAAGATTTTGGCCCAATTTTGCTCCAGAAAATATAATAAAAAATCATGTACTAATGAACAGTGTTTCAACAAAGTTGTTGAGGTACTGTAACAAATTGAACAAAAAAAATTAATTTACAAAAAAAATTTTGAACCTAATTAAGGAAAAATTTGATGCTGATGCTCTTTACAATAATTATGCAGATGCTTTTATATATTACATTTGGTTTTAACCAAATGAAATAATAAAAGGAATAACCCATCAGCTCTTTATGAAATTGGCTTTTCACTACCAATATGTAAGGGATTGTTTGACTGTCATAAATAAGTATATTTTTTATATTTTTTAACTAAAAAATTAAGAGAAAAAAAAATGGATATTTGGATTAATTTTTTAACTTTTTTACGAAAAAATGTGTATTAAAAAATTGTATAAATAAGTGTGTAGGAGAAATTAGTGGAGTAGGCATACAGGTTGGGCAGGGTAGTGGGTTGGTTAGGAGATGAGAGTTGATTGCCTTTATTTTTGGGCTTGAATTTGATGGTGTTGTTCGGTCCATGGGGCCAACCACATGTCCCGTTTTGCTAATCAGAACCATTCAATGTGTTGAACTCGTCGAGTACTAAATGCTAATAAAAAATCACGTTGATTGGACATATATATATGTCTGATCGTGTTAGTTTTGTTGTCAACTGTTAACTATAACACAATACATTTTTTTATACAAAACTGATTTGATCATATAATTAGCGATATCCGATCAACGTGATTTTTTACAAGTAGATAGTTCTGGACTAGTTCTACACATTCAACGGTTCGAATTATCAAAACGGGACCCATGGTAGGCCCCCACGAGCCCAACATACCGTCCAACTTAGTAATTTTATATATGTAATTTTTTTCTCCTGACATGGTACTAAAAGGGTCAAGTCAGTCCCGAAAACTGTGTAAAGTTGGTTTGATTAAAATATTATGGATATTAATTTTTTTATATTTTTAGGGGTTGTTTAGGATGTTATAAATAAGTGTATTTTGTAACTTTTTATAAAATATGGATTGAGTATGAATTGGGTTTGAAGTGATGTGACTTAAATAAAATGATGTGACTTAGATATGATAATAACTTTTTGACTTTTTTAGGAATGACAAACAAGACCTTAATTTGTTAATAGTGATAATTTTTTTGCTTTTTTTTGCCTCCGTTTGAGAAGTGGGTTGGCTTTTTGGTTTTTTGACTTTTTTGGCTATTTTTGCCTAGGCTAAAAAACTTTGTTTGGAAAGGGCTTTTTGGTTTTTTTTTACTTTTTTTGCGAGAGAAAAGTGTAATGATTATGGGTTGGATGTGATATTTTGTTTGTTGTGCCTAAAATAGCCTATTTTGTCTTTTGTAACTAAAATAACCTATTTTGCCTTTTTGTCTTTTGACTCTTTAAATTTTTTAGAACATCCCAAACCAGGCCTAAAATTGGATTAACAATATTATCATCACGAGATAATGTTAATTCTATCATATGAGGGTTTGCATTCTCATAAAATTTAGATAATGGCACTGTTTGGGATACGGTGGTTAAGGCTATTATAGCCTCGTTTGAGTTATTAGCCAAAAAGTCTCAAAATCAAATTTTTTCAAAAAAAAAAAAAAAGGGGCTCAGCGCCGGACAGTGTAGGTTGTGCCTATACTGTCACAGCCTCCACTTGTTACATCAACGGCTAAATTACCATTTTGCCCCTTTACATTAATTTTAAAAATTATAATTTTAGGGACAAATTTGTCATTTTACATTCAAACATCATTTCAACACACTTTTCAATACAAACAACTCAACTAAAAATTCATCTCATCTTCCCAAACACAAAAACTAAAATAGTGTACTAAAATAATCAAAAAATTAAAAAACCTCTAAAATAGCCACTTTCCAAACGAGGCCAATATTTGATTAATTAAAGTGCGAATGTAATGCAATGATTATTTTATTATAATAATATTGGTTCTTACTTTTTAATTTATTAAAAACATATTAACAAATTGAATTGTCTACTACTAGTGTAAAAGTGAAGGGAATTTTAATATATACTCTTTTAAAAATGATATACCATATTCACTTTTAGTTATGTTTTATTTTTCATTAATTATGATTAATTTTTTTTTTTAGTTATGACTCAAGATTTTTTAATTGTGACTGAAGATTCTTTAAAATTGGTGTATCATATACACTTTTTAAAAAAATTATAAATTTCAAATCCACCCATTGAGCTATATGTTAAAAAAAAAATTAAAACATTTCATAATTAAAATTAATCACACATTATATTTTTTAAATAAATATATTGTCATCATTAAAATTAAAAATTTTTGTGTATAAATTAAAAGATTCTTAAATCAATTCAATCACACATCACCATAAATGTAAGTTTTGATAAAATCAACAAATATAAAATTTAGATCTCAACAAAAAAAAATGTATTATAATGTATTATAATTAATTAATTTAATAACGATTTGGCCGGACTGGGTTCAAAATAGAAATCTCAATCATAGCCCATTGATATATCGAACTAAAAATATTAGTTCAATCCAACCCTATAGACTGAGGGGTTGTTTGAGGTATTCTAAATAAGTGTATTTTTTGACTTTTTAGACTAAAAAGTTGAAGAAAAAAATGTAATTATTTGGGTTAACTTTTTTACTTTTTATGAAAAAATGTGTATTAAAAATTTGTATAAATTAGTGGTAAAAGAAGATTAGGAGTGTGAGTTGTACGGCCGTACTATCTGCGCAGTTGAATTGATGCTAAGAAATGATTGGCTACTTTTCGGGCATTGCACTGGACGATATTGTTCGGCCTGTGGGGGCCATCACGGGTTTTGTTTTGATAATCTGAACCGTTCAATGTGTAGAACTCGTCAAGTACTATATGCTTATAAAAAATCACGTTGATCGGATATCGATAGCTATCTGATCAGAGCAGTTTTTATTTCAATCGTTAACTATAACACCATATCTTTTTTTATACAAAACTAATTTGATCATATAGTTAACGATATCCGATCAATATGATTTTTTACAGATATATAATATTCGACGAGTTCTATACATTCACGGTTCAGATTATCAAAACGGGATCCGTGATAGCCTCCACGGGCCGAACAGCAGTGTGTTAAAATTGTACCCCAACTGTACAATTTTTCTTAAAAAACGCAGCCACAGATTTGAACTGGTCAGATTGACTTGTAATCTTGTGTGTAAAATTATTTTTTAATATTTTTTTTGGTGAATAGTGATAACTTTTTAACTTTTCAAGTAATTTTTTGACTTTTTATCTTTTTTATATATATGCCAAACTTAACCGTTTAAATCTTAAAAAAATAAGGTTGGACTAGTTGGACCAACGAGCCGATACCGACCCTTAGGTAGAAGAGAGAGAAGAGAGAGAAAAGAGATAAAGAGTGTGAATTATTCAATATTTTTTTTCAAAAATGTATTTATATGATTTTTACAATTTATGAGATTAAAATATATAAATTTATAAACGAGCATAGACGTTCAAAATTGAATAAATAAATAAGAGAATAAAATAATATAAGCCAATAATTGAGTAATTAATTATAATTTTTACCAAGTGCTATAATTTAGGTAGAAACTAATCGGATCGCTTTAGCCTCCGTTTGAGAAGTGAGTTGAGTTTTTGATTTTTTAATTTTTTTTACTATTCTAATCTGAGCTAAAAAGGTTGGTTTGTGAATAACTTTTTGACTTTTTAACTTTTTTGATTTTTTTTGTGAGAGAAGAGTGCAATGATAATAGATTAGATGTGTTATTTTATTTTTTTATAACCAAAATAACTTATTTTATTTTTTGTGATTAAAATAATAAAAAAAAAAGTCCCACCCACTTGCCAAACACAGGTTAAGGATCACAACACGGACCCCTTACCCTTTCATTCAATGTTAATGTCAACAAAAAAAAGAAAAGAAAAGGCCTTAATGAAATTATGTGGCGCGTTTGGAACCGCGGAGACCATTTCACGCTTCCTCTCCAATGGCGGTCTCTATCACATTTATCGCAGCTTTCATAAATGGAAAATGTTTGAGGGTCACAATTTTTATGGTTTAAATTTGTCAAAACGATATTGTTTTGACAATTTTGAAGTTGTTTTGTACTCAAAACGACGTCGTTTTAGCAATTTCGAGCCATTTGAGCCACAAAAATTGTGGCTCTCAATCATTGCTGTTCATAAATAATACTATATATTAATTAATGTATATATTAATATATTAATAAATAATATAATATTATTTATATAATTTTAAATATTTATAATTTATATAATAGATGTGATCAATAATAATATCATAATAATACTAATGTATTTGCTTGGTTAGAATTTTTTAAAAACGCTTTTCAAAAAATTCTACTATTTTGTTTTTCGTATTTTTTTGTATTTACCGATTTTTTAAAATATTTTAAGCAATTTTTTTTTAAAATTTTTTAGCTATGCCTAATATAAATATACTTAAAAAGTAAAAAAATTATGAAAAAAATCTTTTAAAAATTCACTAAATACTAAAAATATAAAAAAATATAAGAATTCAATACATTTTTTATATTTTAATGTATTTATTAATTTTTTAAAATATTTTTTCACAATTTTTTTATTTTTTAGATATATCTAAGTAAGGTGCATCTAAAAAAGTTAAAAAAATATTTAAAATTTTAAAAATATTCACTTAAAAAACACGAAAACTAAAAACATTTAATTTAAAAAAACTTAATCCAAAAATTTTCAAAGCAAACCTAATCTACTAAGATGATGTTTGGTTATCATATTTGACTAAATAATCATAAAAGAATAAAAAAAAATCAAAAAATCATAAAAAAAAAAAAATACTATTTCAAAGCTTAAAAACTAAAAAAATCAATCAAAAATACCAAATAAATAAAAAAATCTCAAATTAAAAAAATTAAAAAATCAACTAAAAAATTCATCGGCGAACGAAGGGTGCATTACACTGCCTACAGCATCTATCACCACCGCACGTTCCATTCCACGCCGCGACCCCATGGCATTTCTCTCTCTCTCTCACACGCGCGCGCGCGCACACACACACTTGACGCAGCTTCGAATCTCAGAATTTTGTCGTGTAGATCCGCGGGTTTGTGTTTGATTTGGTCCAACAAAACCTAGTGACGGAGGAAGCGAATGAACCGCCATGGCTACCAGCGTTGTCCCAAAGGTTGCCGTCATCGGAAGCGGAAGTAAGCAACCTCTCTCTCTCTCTCTCTCACACCCACACACACATTCGTCCTCATGCATCAATGAAATGAAATGATTGATTGATTGGTGGAAATATTGGGGATAATTTTCAGTTTCTGGAGCCGTATGTGCATCTACTCTGGCCAGGAATGGGGTCTCAGTCACCATCTTCGACTCCGCTAGAGGTCCCGGCGGCCGAATGTCTCAGAGAAGGTAAACCTAACTAAACCCTAATTTCAAGTGCGCACAAATCAATTTTTGATATCTGAACTGTGTTTTAACGCTCTTTACCAGAGAGATTATTGAAGATGGAAAGGAGCTGTTATTCGACCATGGTGCTCCTTACTTCACAGCCACCAATGCCGACGTCTTGGGCCTTGTCCGTGATTGGGAAGCGAGAGGTCTTGTTGCTGAGTGGAAAGAGAATTTTGGTTCCTTCGATTTTGCCTCTCAAAAATTTGTTAACGTTGAAAAGGTTTTACACTTGCATATCTTCCATTCCGCAGCAACTGTTTGTGATGATGCCTAAGCCCTCTATGGAACTAATCAGATTTGAAGATCATAACCCTCTAATTTCCAAGGGTTTTTATTTATTTATTTATTTATTTATCTGGTCTATCTCGAATTTTAGCTTTGATGCCTTGGCAGTGTTTAACTTGCTCTTTGATCTATGTCTGTTGTGTTTTGTGTCGTCATTCGGGTGCGTGAATGTTGTAGTTGATTCATTCATCCATTGGTTAAGATTCGTCATCTGCAGTTCAACTATCTACATTGGAAGTGGAGATTAAGGTTGTACATCAATATCATTTAACGTAGCTCTGTGATCATAACTCATAAGGAATACATCAAATTTTGGTACATGATATGCATAGGATAAGCAGATTCCATGTAGACTTCTTTTAGATGCACGGGAGTAGCAGATTCCATTTCTTAACACTCTTTTGTCTGATTCAAAACTTTTACTAGTGAATCTTCACTTCAGTCTCCTGGCTCTCATTTTTCATGTCTTCCTTATCTTGGGCATTCAAGCTGAGATATCCTAATAATTACTCTTTGGAGCTTTGTTTATCTGTTTATGATATCACGATCCCTGCTCAATTTCTTACTAAGGTCATATATATTTTTTTTCCCTTTCTTCTCTTTGTTCTATTGTAATATTGCCGATTTTGTTTGCATAAATGCAGAATTGCACAAATGTTGTAGAATATGGCTATTTGAATATGTACATATGCGATCTCTGTTTTGTCAAGCTTCAATTTCTCTGAGTCTCAGTTTAATTTAGGAAGGATTGAGCAAGAAATATGTGGGTGTCCCGGGAATGAATTCTATTTGCAGTGCATTATGCAAAGAGCCAGGTAATGGATTGATTTATTGGTTTCTTTTGTAATATTTTTCAGAGATTAACACAACATATAAAATTGCCTCATTTACCCACTTTACTCTTTTTTAGGAGTAGAAACCAAGTTCGGGGAGGGTGTTGGGAGGCTAGAGTGGTTGGAGGATGAGGATTCATGGTTATTGACAGGTTTAGATGGACAATATCTTGGTCATTTCAAGGGTGTGGTTGCATCCGACAAAAATATAGTTTCACCCAGGTTTACAAATGTGACAGGACGATCAACACCTCTTGGTATGACGACTCAACTTGTTCTTGTCGGTTAATAAATCAAATGAACATGCATGTCCATCTCTACAGTCCTTTAAATTTGTGATTCAATTAAGTTCGTCATATTGTAATCTAGTGTGTGATAGAAGGTAGTCTCTTTGTTTGCATTGGTAGTCTCTTTGCATTGTGGTTTATTGTTTATCTTTTCTTCCATAGAATCAGTTATATAAGTGTGCCAAGGGACGAGGCTACAAGGGGGTCATGGCCACCCCTGGTTTTTTTCTTTACATGGTATGCATTAAGGCCTAAAAAAAACAAAAAACAAAATGACTCCTAGTTTTGAAGGGGACTGCACTGGCCACCTACCTGCAAACCCTTTTTTCAAATTTTTTTCTTCTTTCATTTTGTCTGTCATTGCTTCCATCAATTTAAAATTAGCTTCAAATGGACAATTTCAACTAGTCCCATATTCAAAAATTACAAAAAAGAAGAAAAAAAATTAGATGGATAGTTCACAATACATGATGAGTGTTCGATTGCTATTTTGATTGATAAATTATTTGATGTAAAATTAAAAATTAAATTTGTGATATTTTATTGTCATATATTAATTAAGATTGAATGAAAGTTATTCTTTTGAGCGTTGCTTCTTAGGAACAACTTCTGGCCTAGAGCCCATGGCGGTGATATTAATTCATTGGGTTTTGCTAAGCTCATTAAATCATCTTCTAATATATATCTTTCACATTAGTCACTTTCATTTTAACTTTCAGCCTGCAAATCATTTTTCTATTTTTATTTTTATATTTCAAATATAGTTTGTATTATTAGTTGTTATTTCTATGTACCTAAATACGAAATCCTGGCTTCATCCATGAGTGTGTCAGTCCCTTGAAAACAAGTTAAGTTTAGAAGATTTCAGATAACAAAAATCACCATTTGATGACTTACTTCCCTGTCGAGATCAATTTGACTTTAAAGTGTGAGCTTGATGAACTCACTTAAGATACTCTAATTACATGGGTAATAAAATTGATACAACTGACAAATGGCTGCTAGTTATTTGGATTTGAATGGGCTAGTTATGAAATTTGGGACTTGTCCCTCAAGCATGGGCACTTGAAGTGATTGAACATTCTTCTCAAATTCACGGGAAAACTTAATGTAGCCGCCCTGGAACTCAAAATGGTTTGTTTTACTCCCTTTTGCTGTTTAATCACCTTTGGTGATTTTGCAGCTCACTTTTGTGTACATATTGCACCTCTGCTGATTAATTTGCTACAAATTAGTGGAAACAGCATAGGTTGGTTTCTTAACTATTCTCTCTGTCAATGTTATCTCATACAGATTTAAGTTTGGTTCCGGAGTTGGCCATGAGGATGAAAGAAATCCCTGTTACTTCATGTTTTGCACTGATGCTAGCATTTGAAGAACCTTTGTCTTTGGTAAGATATATGTTGTGCGTGAGTTACAACAAATGTACCTTTGTGAATGTTGGCAATTCACAGTGCTTGTATCATTACTTCTCCCTCGTTCTTTGCCCATAAATGGGTCTATTTAGCTCTGAGTTTCAGCCATCCTATTGAGGACCCACACCGATCTAGTTTGGCTCTGGAAATGACCCAGAGTTTCTTGGATCAATTCCTACTCTAGAGTCTAGGTATCCCTGGTCATGGGGTTTGCAGGCATGATTGTGTATTCGGGGGTTTATATAGTCTGACCGGCAAAATGGGGTGGGGAAAAAAAAAAAAAAGCAGGAACACAAAACAAAAACGAAGAAGAGAGAAGGAAAAAAAGAAAAAAAAATGAAATTGGATAAAGGTTTGTGGATTTGTGCCCCCTGGTATTTTGTAAAATTTTTTTCAACATCCAATGTCTGAGGTTTGATGAGGATGCCTTTGTTATCTAATGTCAAGAAATCTCTCTTTCTCTCTCTCTCTCACACACATAAAGGTATCCCTGGTCATGGGGTTTGCAGGCATGATTGTGTATTCGGGGGTTTATATAGTCTGACCGGCAAAATGGGGTGGGGAAAAAAAAAAAAAAGCAGGAACACAAAACAAAAACGAAGAAGAGAGAAGGAAAAAAAGAAAAAAAAATGAAATCGGATAAAGGTTTGTGGATTTGTGCCCCCTGGTATTTTGTAAATTTTTTTTCAACATCCAATGTCTGAGGTTTGATGAGGATGCCTTTGTTATCTAATGTCAAGAAATCTCTCTCTTTCTCTCTCTCACACACATAATTTTAATGATTTAGATACCAGTAAAAGGCGTCTCCTTCAACAATTCTGAAGTTTTAAGGTGGGCATTTTGCAACAGCAGCAAGCCAGAGCGTTCTACATTTAGGTATCTGTTTGTGTTGCACTAGTAGCAGACTAATGATGGAAAGAATGATTAGTTTTAATTCTGTGTTCATCACTTTGGTTTTTTCTATTTGCTTCTTTACACAGTGAGCATTGGGTGTTGCACTCAACAGATGAGTATGCAAAGAGTGTAATTGCTCAAATGGGACTTCAAAAGCCTTCAAATGCTGCATTGACTAAAGTGGCCGATGAACTATTTCAAGAGTTCCAGAACACTGGACTCAACATTTCTAAGCCATTTTTCAAGAAAGCTCATAGGTGGTTAGTATCTGAAGCCTTTGGTTCAATATACAGTATTTACTCTTTTTTTTTTTTCTTTCACTCCAACCAAATACATACAATTATTTTGTGTGTCCAATAAATGGATTCACAGGGGTAGTGCTTTTCCTGCCTCTAGCATTGCAACAGAGGAGAAATGCCTCTGGGATGGGAAGAAGAGACTGGCCATATGTGGAGACTTTTGTGTTAGTCCAAATGTTGAAGGTGCCATACTTAGTGGCATGGCCGCAGCCTCAAAGGTTATTGAGATCCTTAGTTGCTTATAGTGACGACAATATCAGTTAATCATGCAGTTGCCTTCACAACATGCTTGGGTTTGTAGTTGTTCACACAGGATGATTTAGCTATTCGCTGTTGCTTGGTTGAGTAAATATTTTCAAAATGAAAACCTATTGTAATTGTATGAATTTTTATAAGTTGCTGTTTGATGCAAATTATAGATAGTATAATATTTTCCTCGTATTCGGACTGAGATCTGTTGGATTGAGTTGATAATATTTTCCTCTTCATCTTGGATTTCTACGTTGGAAGAATTTTCTTTTACATCAGCATGGTCCTTTGGTTGTTATTTTGCTCCTATATTGGTATATGTGGAACAATATTTTGCCCTTATATTATAAGACTCTTTTAAATATGTGATCAAGTCTAAGACTTTGACACTTGATGGAGTATGGGATATATGTCTATTCTGGCTAGTTGGACTTGCATCCAACAAATATGTATATGAAGTCAAGTTTATTACATAGTATGCATAAGAATTACATTATATCCTTAAAAGTAATTATTATTATTTAAGAAATATGAAATAGTCTTGATGTCTTTCACATGATAATTATATAATACGACAAATTCAAAATAAATTTAATTTGAGCTCTTGCTTAGGGCTTTTAGCTGTGGGGGATCCAGATTTATATTGAGCCTTGTGATTTTTACTGGGTTTTTGACATCTGTAAGATGTGTTTTTGTTTTTATTTTTTATTTAAAAAAAAAAAAAATTAAACCAATTTACTTGAATCAGTTGAATCTTGTGCTGTCTAGATCTCACTCTTTTCTTCTTTTTATTTCGTTCACTCATTTATTTATTTATATTATTTTCAAGGATCCATCCTAACCATCTGATCTGCCTCCACGTGTCTTTCAGCATATACCTCAGAATAATCTGGTGAAAACAAATAGCTCTCCCTCCTGGTTTGGATAATGTTGTAACATCATATCCAGAATCCCTCCTGGTTTGGATAATGTTGTAACATCATATCCAGAATGCAGCCAATGGGGCAGCACCATGTGTAACTTGGCAATCACAAATCCTTGGTTATATCAATAAATTTGGGTGGCCAGGAGACCACGCATACAAACAGTTTTGAAGGCAAGAAAGAAACACTGAAAGTGAAGATAGGCAGAAGGGCATGGCTGCTGCAGCCTCTGTAGTGATGACTTCACTGAGCCTGAAACCTTCTCCATTCACAGTTGACAAAAGAGCTGTGAAAGGCCTTCCCTCCCTCACAAGAACTTCCTCTTTTAGGGTTGAGGCCAGTCGCAACAGGAAGGTCAAGACTGATAAGCCTTATGGTTAGTGTATCTTCTACACATGTGTACATGTATAAACCTATGGTAAACCAGCCTGGATTTCAATAGATTAACCATAATTCTGTTATGTAACTGGTTGAGTTTTAAAGGTTTTTTTTTTTTTTGAAGTTGATCTTAAGAGAGGATGAGCCATGGCACGGCAGTAAGGTTGCTCTATTACAAACTTGACGTCATGGGTTCAAAACACAGCCATGACGCGTTCAAATCAGAGACACAGCCTCTCCGCTTGCTTGCGGAGTAAGGCTGCGTACATGCAACCTTCATAATGACCGTTCATTGGTGGGAGCCTCGTGTACTAAAACTATTCTTGTAACTCTTTATTTTAAAGATCTTAGGAAGAGAAGGAAACACACACAGAGAGAGGTTATTTCTATGGAATGTTATGCGTGATCTTGAATTTGGATTGTGGTACATCTCATCAGGAATTAATGGGGGGATGAGCTTGGCGGATGGACTCGATGCATCTGGCAGGAAAGCCAAGGTTGGTTCCTTTCTGAACTATGAATTCCTATGAAATTTACACTAGTTAAGAGAATTTTTTTTTAAAAAAAAAGAACATCTTTATGCAACAAGCAATAATGTTCACTTTCGAATATTGATGCAGGGGAAGGGCGTATACCAATTTGTAGACAAATACGGTGCTAATGTTGACGGATATAGGTACAATTATTTACTCTTTTTTTTTATATTATAAATATCTATATGTCCTAATATATATATATATATATATATATATCCAACCCAAAGAGGCTTAGATTTAGATTTATTGAGTAATTTAGTTAGCGTAAAGAGAAGAAATTATGTTACATTTATGTCCTCTCTTTACAAATTCATAATCCAAATACTACCCATAATCCAAGTAATACCCATAATCTTTCTCACTGATGATTGATTTACAGCCCCATCTATGATCCAGATGATTGGTCTCCAAGCGGTGATGTCTACGTTGGCGGTAAGAAAAACAATTGAGATTTGTTGACATATGTATATATTTCCTGTCCCAAACTATCTCCTATGACACGATGATAAATCCATATATATAAACTCACATTAAAAAAATAAAAAAATTATAATTGTTTATATGTGACGGTAAGTTTAGATTAATTGTAATTATTCTTTTGAAATGCAGGTTCGACTGGGTTGGCAATATGGGCTGTAACCCTAGCTGGGATTCTTGCCGGGGGTGCACTCCTTGTTTACAACACAAGTGCTTTGGCACCATAGAAGACTCCCCTACAAATAGTAGCCTGCCTATTGTTCTAATAAGCTTGTTCCAATCCACTGTACGAAACAACCAACATTATGTCTCTATATGTACATGAGTAATGCTAGGGATCATAAAAAAAATATCATGAAGATGATCATGAAAATTTTCACCTTTGAATTGCACATACAATAAAACATCACACTAATCAAAGGATGAAAATTTTTTCCTAGTATTATTCTATGTATATATGCTTTTGAAACTTACCTATAATTTGTATTATTGTGGTGTAGGTTTGCTGTAATAATACTACGTTTGCATGTAAATTAATCTAAATTTTATTACTTGCCTTTTGAATAATTATTACTTCTATGAACACAAACTCATTTAGAAGATTGTAATACTGACACACAAACATACCTACTCTGATCATCAATCTTGGCTGCAATTTTGCGGTCTTTTGATGCTAATCTATGTAAACTTGGCTTAAGCACCATTTTAAAAAAATGAGAACCAATTATGTTTCTCAAACAGAATTAGGACAATTGATGGTGGAATGTTACAAATTCCCCTTGCATGTCACCCAAAGCTTAACCCTTTGCCCTCCCCAGCCTGTTCATATGGTGCATGGATACAAATGAAGTACATGCCATGAAGTACACAAAATACACTAACCTCTCCCCCTGTCATGGGATGAAGAATTAAGTCAATTAAATCAAGCTGACCCATAATCCTAGCTGCTTTTCTTTTCAGCTTCCATAGTTGCCACCTAGATTTGGAGATTTGGTCAATCCTACTGTATCTCTTCTTCAAAAGTATCTTCTTCATGATGCTGTGGTGTTGAGTACCTCAAATGAGAAGAGCCTACTTGGCCGATTCCCTCTACCATCATAGACCGAACAATCTGCACATTCAAATCAACATCTGTTGTGCATTTCTCTCAAATAACAGAACTCACATTTGCCAAAAAGCAGCTCTTAACACAATGACAAATAAAATAATGTATTAGGTACATGTATTTCCGTGATTGATTGTAGCCAAAAAAAAAAAAAAAACTGACAAGGGAGATCAGTAATATTGTCATGAACCGCATGAGATTCTTTGGGCATCAGCCTAATAAAATGTCCCATGTGTAAAGCAGAGAAAACGTGAGACATGCAGCTCCCGATATTTCTAGAAACTTCCCTCTTACATTTAATGTTTCTTCCATTTTAATATAACACCACTTGCAAAAGAAAAATATCATTGTAAGTTTGTAACCAAACATACTATTTGATTCCATATTCTAGAATAATGTCACTATGGGGTTGTTAATCAAATCACCATGATCTAAATATAATTAGAATGATACGCATCATAAAGATTGCAAATATGCAGATGTTGCAACTACATATAGATATCAACAAACAAATACCAAGAGCAATCAATGACTATAAAATGCAGGACTTATCAGTGGGAAGAGTGAAATAAGGCCATCACAATTAGAAAATAAAATGGATGTTCGGTAATCAAAAATAGCGATGGATGCCCAAATTTTATACTCAAACGAATGAGTAGGCCAAAAAGACATAAAGAACAATTAATATTATAAAAATAAACTCTCTATAGTACAAAAAAAATTTAACTGAGGCATAAGCATCCAAACCTTCTCTATTTCATCACAAAGAAGAGGGTTCTCTCTCAGGTATTGCAGTGCTCTGTCCCTCCCCTGTCCCAACCTTAAACATAAAAGACACAAAATGAAAATAAGTGGCAAAATTGGAGAGGAATCTAGAGAGTTAGTTGAACAGGATTTTAAGGTTTAATAGCAACACAAGGACAAGAAACTAGTATAGTCAAGTGTATGCCATAGATATAAGGAGAAGGAGCCTAAAACAGAGACGCAAAACAGTTTGCTTTGCACAGTTTGGAAGACAAAATTGTTGAAATCCCAAAACGGTTCGAATAATTGGATAGTGTGCTATATTAAGAATATTAAATTAGTGTAGTCTAGAATTTATAACTCTTAGACTTGGCCTTTATAATATGAAATGTAATAGATAGGAGAACCAGATGCATACACAATGCAAAATGGTAACTCCAAAAGACAAACCTATTATCTTCATAGCTATACCAGGAACCCTTCTTTAACACTACATCCATCATTTCAGCACAATCCAAAATGCAACCCTGCATATGAAATCAAAATTATACCAGAAATAGAATGGTTTATGCCATTGCAAAGAAACAAGAGTTAACAGTGCAGTGCAGTGCAATACAAACCAGTTTACCCACTCCCTCGCCAAAAATAATTTCAAACTCGGCTTGCTTGTATGGCCTTGAAACCTAGGGCAATACATAGTTAGAAGAAAAGCAAGCATTCTCATTGACATCATTAGTCATAATAACTCATAAACAAGGAATAAAATAATAATAGAAGAATGTATCAGAAGCACCAAAAATATGGAGATATTGCAACTACATAATTATATTGAGAACAAAATTTAATAGCGAATCTTCCAAAATTCAATAAATTTGGAATATGTTAATAAAGATTTTAATGCATAATTTAGAGTATAAACATGCAAAGGATGGAAAGATGCAATAATGAATAGCAATTACGTCATGCTAAAATATGATATAAAAAGTTTTAAAAAAAGGTAGAACGCAAACAAAAACATTTCCATTTATGTGGCATGACGCCATCTTGAAATCAATTCCTTTTATGTGGGATACATCACATTCTGACACAATTTCATATTAGTTTCACTTACCTTACTCTTTTGAACTCTCACACGAACCCTAAGCCCAACGTCTTCATCTCCTTTAGCCTAAAATAATGATAATTAGCACATACTGACAGTATTCATATCTTGAAGTTCAAATAGAACTGAATAGTAATCAATTGAGCTGGTTTTGTGCTTACAGACTTTATCTTCCCTGTAGGGCGTATTTCAAGACGAAGTGATGCAAAGAACTTCAAAGCAATTCCTCCACTGGTGACTTCAGGATTTCCATAATATACACCAATCTAGGCACAAAAATCATTGGTCTGTGGATGAGAAGTCATTACAACTGGACAGTGAAAACTAAACACAAATTTATGGTGCAATAAAATAAGAATTTAAAGTTCATGACCAAGCCATTTGGGTTAAGTGTTCCAAGGGCGGTTCAATAAATATGATGAATTTATAATAGCAATTGTCCTTCATATGTAGTCCAACAAAAAGCAGATTACACCTTATTAATCAAAATTACCTTGTGTCTTATTTGATTCAGAAAAATAAGAGTACATCCAGCTTTGGAGGCATTTCCAGACATTTTACGCAGAGCTTGGCTCATGAGACGTGCTTGCAAACCCATCTGCTGCATTCCAATTTCCCCCTATGTACAACAAACAGACCCAAGGATGTGTCCGGCATTAGCAATCTTGTCAACTTCTGTATTCTGAAAATAGAAAGAATGTAACTTACTTCAATCTCAGCTCGTGGAGTAAGAGCTGAGACAGAATCAACGCAAATGAGATCAACAGCACCAGATCTGCACATACGATCTGCAACTGAGGCAACAAAAAGTTTGATAACCCAAATAAATCGAGCACACTTGCAAGAAATTTATCGTATCTCACTCAAAATATATATTCAGTGTTACTTTAATAAAATCAAGTGAACAAGAAAAAGAATTATTACTCTCCAGTGCCATCTCTCCATTATCAGGTTGGCATACAATCAAATTTTCTACATCTACTCCCAATGCTTTAGAATATGAAGGATCAAAAGCATGCTCTGCATCAACAAGCATGGCGTTGCCTCCTACCTTCTGCATATTCAACACAGAGAAGCTGCATCTTGGTCTCAAAGTAGATAAGAACCCTCATAAGAAGTGCCTTCTTATAAAGACAAGTATAATAAATATGTTTAAGTAAAACCAGGTTCAGCACCTGAACTTCTGCAATTGCGTGGAGCGCTAGGGTGGTCTTTCCACTACTTTCTGGCCCATATATCTAAAAAGAAAAAACACAGATTAAAAATTTTGAAGGAATCAGTTATGTTACTTGACAAGTTAATATGCACAAAACTGAAGTAGTGGTAACAACTTTTTTAGAGCATTAATGTTCACCAGGTGAACATTACTCTAGTCAGGTATATATGAGACTCTGAAGAATAATAATAATATACATCCAGTAAATCTTTTTTTTTTTTTTCTTTCTGTCCATGATAGTTGATTATGATGGAATGGTATTTGTTTAAGTACCACGTTCAACTAAGCAACACTGATACATATAAGGGACACGGATACAACACGATATTGACATGCCAAAAAAACAATTTAAATATATAAATACACCGACACAACAACCTCTAGAAGTGTGTACTTCTTAGATGTTCAATATGAGCATGTCAGCTAAACTATCAAACTTATTAAATGAAATGAATACCTTATGCACCAAATGCTAAATCGACTTTTTCAAATAGAACCAGAACATATTTCATCCTGGAACATATGAGCAATCATCGCATGTAATCAATAGGAAAGCAATAAAGTATTAAACGGCGAAAGAAAAGGATAATACCTCTACAATTCTACCTTTGGGAAGGCCACCACCTAGTGCAAAGTCTAATGTCAAACAGCCACTCGGAAAAGTTTCTCTGCAATATACAAAATCTCAATGAATCTACAAGAAAGACGAAGGTTACATTGCCCCACATATGTTTGTTAGAACCTACAACAAGTGAACCAAACAAAGATTGTAAAAATTTCCCACTTGGTCTTAAAGCATCCCAACAAATTATTATAATAAAATAAAATAAAAAGAAAAAAAGTACACACACACGCAGTTGACATGGAAGAAAAGCACATACACCAGAGCTCCACCAGCACTGCCCAACCTTGTAACACTTCCTTTCCCAAATGAGTTATTTATATCATTCATTGCTGCTTCCAATGCTTTTTGCTGGAATAAAAAAGGTCCAGTCAGTTTTTGAGCCAAATATAGGCAGGCAATTATGTATATCAGTGTCTAATTGAGCATCCAACAGATGATTTGAGGTTCAAGGAGCACCCAAAGGAAGAACTATTTGTTTGTAGGAAGAACAACGCACGTGAACACAAACAAAAGTTAAACCAAACCAAGCCTTAAGTCCCATCATATGAGGTCGACTGCATTTTTCTCCACTCGACTTTATCATCCAAGGCAATTTCGTTAGTTAAATTAATGAGATTCATATCTCTATTTACTACACTAGTCCACGTCAACAGCTCGATATGACCAAACGATCTCAATCTATTCTCTCTCTACTTATCTTCTATCGATACTACTCTTACCCATTCTCGAATATACTCATTCCTAACTCTGTCTTTTTTGTAGTCTTGCCACACATTCACCTTAGCATCCTAATCTCAGCAACACTTCTCTTCTCTACATGTTGTTTCTTAGTTGCCTAACATTCCGTCCCATACAACATTGCTAATCTAATGGCTGTTCTATAGAACTTCCCTTTTAGGCTAATGGGAATTCTTCACTTAAGCCACCCCACTTTAATTCTGTGAACCACATTCGCTCCAATCTTCCCAGTTGTTGTAATAATCGATCCTAAATAACGAAAATGTTCACTCTTAGCTAGTTCTTGATTCTCAATTTTCACTTCTCCTGAAGATTGAGAACCAAAAACTACCTAAGAGTGAATATTTTCGTTACTAATGATTGATTATCACAATGACTAGGGAGTTTGGAACGGATGTTGTCCACAGAATTAAGGCAGGGTGACTTAAGTGGAGAAGTGCGTCTGAAATGTTGTGTGATAAACGAGTACCCATTAGAGAAAATGAGTATTGCTGAGATGAGAATGGTATAAAAATTCAAATTATGGTACAAAATTACTGTGAAGATGTTAGTAAGGAGCTAAGAAGCACTGACAATATAAGATGGGTGTTGTGTTTGTGTCTAACATGGCGGGGACACGCGTGTCCACGTATCCAATATTGCACTTGGGGTGTCAATTTCTTAATTATTATTTTTTGTAGGGCACATTAGGGAAACTTCCATGGTCTTTTGATTATATTACTGAGATCTGCAGAGAATAACAACCATGTGAGCTGTTGAGATAGGCAAAATACCTATATTGTAGATCTTAATGAACCAATATACTACGCTCTCTTACTATCTGGTTGCGTGGGTATTGAAGACCAGACTCTAAATACATCTACTAAAAAAAATGGCAACCTAGTAGGCTAGTACACAATTTCCCGCACACTAAAGTTGGGTCTGGGAAGAAAAAAATGTACCCAGTCTTCCCTTATTTCTGGAAAGGCTGTTTTTGTGACTTGAATTCGTGCCACTACGAACACTAGTGGTAAACCTTACCATTGAGGCCAAGCCACCCTTTAATTGAGGCAGTATGGCATAGCCAAAAAAAAAAATATATATATACTTGTAGGAGTGTGGGTAATTATTGAGACGGCAATCCAAAAAACTTTTACTGAGAACGAATCCACCATAAACAAAAAAATTTCCTAACTCCTTGAACCTAACAAAAGAGAGTTAAACATAAAAAATTCCATGAGCTTCATTTGGTGAAGAAATTCTCTAGAATATATATATGCCAAGATAAAAGCCAGTAGTAGTTTATCAAACTGAAAGTCCATCCTTCCTTTCTTTAGTTTAAAAAAATTCAATAAACACAAACAAAAATCTATTTAAAAATAGTTTCTGAGGATTGTAACCAAACGAATATGGATACATAAAATTAGCAAAAATCAAAGCAAAATTGGTTAATGGTGAATACCACAGCAAAATATTATGTAATCAGTGACTGAACGAAACTTTCTAATGGTTCTATGTGAGCCCTTTATGCAAACTGAAGCAACTACTAGTATATTAATTATGCCAAACCCACCATTAAAATGGACCTTAACCCAGTTATTGACGCAAGTTATTACTAATGTCTTTCTATCATTAACTAATTCCAATTAAAGTAGCAATGCATCAACCAAAACAAACTCACTTTTTCCACTCAAACCCTATACACATACTCAGATGAACATCAAAAAGATTAGTGTATTGAGCATCAAAAGATAAACTGATTCCCATTATCTATATGACATCCTCATTCATATTCCATATACAAGTGTGTATATATACACTCACATACCCGGTCGACGAAGCGGGGGTCAGAATCACCAGAAAGAACGCCATTGACTTTGCCGTCGAACTCGGACCTAGCCCTAATTTGTTTGAGCGCCAAATTTGATTTCGAACGAGAGCGAGACGCTTGAGATTGTAGTAAAGAAGAAGAAGAAGAAGAAGAAGAAGAGGAAGAGAGAAAAGGTGGGTAAATTTTGGAGGCACTAACAAATTGGATTTGGGGTTTTAGAGGCAACACCATATCCATATTGTATGTTTCTAAATTCCTAACCTAGAGAGAGAGAGAGAGAGCGCTCTAATGAGTGAAGACGCTGCAAGAAAGCAACAACAGCGTCTGGTAGCTCGGCGCTAGAGAGAGAGAGAGAGAGAGATAGCGAGATAGCGAGCGTGTGCTCTTGTTTTTATGGACTTTAGGTCTAGCCCAGACCACCAAGTTAAGGGCCATTTGACACGCTACTACACCGACTCAATTATTTAAACCATTGGGCTTCAACTTTAGTAATATACTGGGCCTGATTTTCGGCCCAAGGAAGGAAGAAGGAAAGAAACACGGCTTTTCTACGTAGCAAAACCTTTTGATGGGCTACATTTGTAGAGTGAGAGATCATGACTAGGCCCATAAAACAAATTAGGCTATTACAGTGTTTAACTCGTTAAAAATTTGTTTATAATTAACATGTTATGTAAATAAGTTTGATTTATTTTAAAATTCGTTAAATTTTTACGTTAAACTCGAATAACTTATTATAGGACTCAATTAAAATCTGTTTAAAATTAATTCTAAAGGTAAATAATTCAAACTTGAACGTATTTTAAAATTTGTTAAAAAATTCCCCAACTGCCTCGCTTTGAGCATAAATTCAACTTTGGGTTAGATAATCTGCTTGTACTTAGTGATAAATGGCAACTAGATTAGCAATACCGTAGCGCCAGATATTACCAACCCTAATACATTGTTTAGCATATTAGGCAAAAATTAGAAAAATGCATTATTAGCGGACAAAAACAAAATATGTTCCCCACCAACCCTCCCTTGAAAAGGCGTATCAAACACGGCCTAAGGCTTTATGTTAAGTCATCAGCCATTAGGTTAACAACAACAACTAAATGAAATGAAGATGGAGTGCCCAAATTAGGAATTTGGCTAAACTCAAATTAATTTGTCATAACAAGATATACATGTCTTAAACACCTCAAGCTTGGGCATATGTCAGTGCATGTCAGATGAGACTACTGACATGCCCGAGCCAGTCACGTTTAATTAATAACTAAACTTCTTTTAAGTTCAAATGTTAACCATAGTTCCTCCAATAACCACGGTGAGTGAAGGCCACAAAATAACAAAGAAAGTTGGTTTAAGCAAGATATGTTGAATCCATATCCACAATATTGATTCAAGTTTTCAAATCTTTTGAAACAAAATTTCAACAATTTGTTTGGACAGATGAGGAAAAAAAAAATTGATGTTTTCAATCCGATTATTATGGGAGTTTGGTCATAGGTTGCTTTCGAGATCCCCTACACTTGGAATTATATAATAGGGAACTAAGATTCTAAATTAGACTTTTTTGGCTCCACAACTAACCTAATTATTTCTTTTATGGTTGTCATTAGTACCATGTATTCCAATTATTCATATAATTAATTCTCATGATAATGATAGCTCACTAATTTTAATTTGTTGAGTTTCTAATGTGAATAGAAAAGTTTTCAGTCGCTTGACAATCGTGTACAAGGGAAAAGAAAAATCATATTAATCCTTGCCTTGCCTTGCCTTGCCTTGCCTACAGATGAGATAGCCAATTATGTCATATACTTTGATTAATTTATTAATTAGTTTTTAGTGACGCGAGAATGTGTTAAAAATCATAAAAAAATAATTCAAGTTGATAAGTTGTGATTAGATTAACTAAGACTTAGCCAAAGTTCAATATTAATTATTGGTATGGAACTGAATTATTTATTTATTTATTTTTTGGGCAAAGAATTTTCGTCATAAAAAAAATTATTCCTAGAACGCCATAAATCTAGTGTAAAGATAATACATACAATTTGGACCCTTTGGACAGACAAATAAGAAGTAATAATGGGCTTGATCACACACAAGAATTTATTTTCTATTTTTCTTAGAATTAACTCATAAAAAAAATAAAAATAAAAGAAGAAGAAAAACAAACAAACACTGCCTTGTGAAATTATGTCAGCGAATCTGTGGTGAGCTCATATGGATTGGTTTTTAGTTCCAAAATTTGGCTTCAGTTAATCAAATGAAAGTGATAGTCAAAAAAAGTATAATAAACATGGCAGATTCACAGTCATGTTGCGTTCTGTTTGGCATTACACTAATCGTTACGCAATTCCTCTCTTTCCCATTTAATCTCCTTTTATAAAATTAGTACTCAAGAAAAAAAAAAAACAAAAGAGGTTAAACTTGAAGGAATAGGGATATCCTCCAAATGTTCCCTCATCCATCACTTTCTAAGCATAATTGTATTGTTTTATTTTTTATTTTTTATTTTTTTCTTTCCAGGCTTTGTCCATTTCATGATGATAATTAGGTCAGAAATACATTTTGGTGTACCGTGTACGTACTGAGGTGTGGTGGAGTTTAGTAATTGTTTTTACAAAGTTGATACATTCCTTAATTTTGAAACTGTAAATAAAGCTCTAATGACTTAGCAATGAAAAAAAAAAAAGAAAAAAAATGACACAAACATCATATCATTGTGGAGCTCACACACCATTTGAACTCGCTAAAGCTCTCAATCTTTTTTCTTGTTTTTATTATGTTATAAGAAAAAAAAATAGAATAAGAAAAAGTTGATTTATTTGATAATTGTTAATTTTATTTATTTATTTTTTTTGTCATGAAAAATGTTTTATGAGTCTTTTTCAAATATTTACTTTTGATGAGAATTTATCATATTATCATCATGGTATTGTAAATCTCTTATTAATATAACTAAAGGGACATGGTGTAATTTTTAAAAATATTAATGAAAAAATCATTTTTTACACAAATCTGTAGGGAGCTGCTAATAAACTGTCATCGTTTCTTTTGGACGCCCATCTCTTTTTATTTTTATTTTTTATTAAAATTTTACCTTACCGTAAACTTCCCATTTTATACTCGCCCCTAACTTCGCTAACCATAATCCTAACAACCCCACCCACCACCATTAGCTCTAGCCACCTCTCTTGCAACCTTCTCTACCCTTGCCTTGCCAGCATATCCCTCCTCCAACTTCCCTCACCCCTTTGTTGTCATTGTTGTTCTCTTTCTCCTACTCATTCTTCTTCCTTCTCCTCCTCTTTAAGTCCTAAATCCTGTCCCTAAACCTAGATCTAAATCTGGGTTTGGGGTTGGCAACGAAGAAGAAATGGGGTCGCCAGTGCGGAAAATGGGTTGCAAAGGGTTGTAGTGGGAATGAGAGGATCACTGATGGGGATGGGAGGGCCAAAGGAGGGTGGCCAACCGAAGGTAAGAGCTATTGGGATTGTGATGGGTGCTCAAAGAAAAAAAAAAAAAAAAGAAGTGAAAAACAATTTTGGTGCCAAACTAAATAAACAGAGATTATTAGTAGCACACTTAAAAAGGTTACTTTTTTTTAAGAAATTACTAATCTACGAGTGATTTGAGATGTTTTAAACAAGTGTATTTTTTGACTTTTTATAAATAAAAAAAAAAAAAGTCTAAAAAAGTAGAGAAAGTAGATAAAAATGTAGAGAGGAGATGATAAATGTTGATAGATATTGATTGATATGACCTAAATAAGTATATGTATGCAAAAAAAAAAAAAAAAGTACACTTTTTTAGTGCATACCAAATACCTACCCAGTTAAACCAAGTAGTTTTTACATTTTATTTTTATTTTTTAGTCAAAAAATAACTTACTTGTAGATATATTCAAATGGATAATGAACTTTCCAAGTCCTGATATTTTGCAATCAACGTCAAATTAATTGTGCTTCTTAGTGTATTTATATATGGTGTCCAAGACGGTATGTTCACTGTTTGATTTTTCTCTCCTTCATAGTCTTAGTCAATTTTGTTCAATTAATGTTTTGTAACTTTACATGGCATAAGACAAACTCCATCAATTTAAAGTTTTGACGCAACATAATCGAGTTATTGATGAATAACTTTGTTTGTTAAATGAATAAGTTCAAATTAAATTTTAAGTTTGTTTAATGATCGAACTAAACTCGAGTATAACTAAATATATTTTCATTAACTTATACTATCACCATGGTGTTTGTGCAAATTTATGTATTTAATCGATAAAATTTTTATCAAAAATATGAGCGTTATTTTTATTTTGCTAAAATCTTCTCTTTTTTCTCTTAATGTGTGTGACAATTTAGGAGTTTTTTTTTTTTTTTTTTTAAATTTTTATTTTCAATATCAAGTTTGAACTCAGCTCATTATTATAATTGAGTTGCTCAAGTTTCTCAAATACTAATAAGCTAAGCTCGAGTTTAATTTTTTAAGTTCAATCAATTTTTGGCTAGCCAAACTCGAACACTCTGAAAATTAGACCTTACTCGTTTGTTGCCCTATCCTAATGTTCAAGTTTTGGTTCTCACATTACACCCTACATGCTACTCTGTATGCCAATATGCTAAAGTAGTCTTCTCTACTAGTAACTTAGGCCTCGTTTGGGAACATGCTATTTTAGTAATTTTTTGACTTATTGGTTAAAATATGAGGTGAAAAAAACTAGTATGTTTGGAATAATTTTTTAGCTTTTTACGAAAAGATGTGCAAAAAGTAGAGAGAAAATGAAATCTTTGACTTTTTGGTATAAGTTATTGATTTTTTGATTTTTTTAATAACTTTTTGACTTTTAAGCTAAAACAGTCACTTCCCAAACGAGACCATAGTTCAACTTGCATAAAACTAAACAATGGCACTTGCACCTCACTAGTTGAATAAACATGATATGTGAACACTATGGGTGGAATAAACCTTTGTACTTTATCACCAACATGAACAATTTTGCCACATATACCCAAAAAAATAAATAAATAAATAAAATACAGAAAAAGTCACAAAATAGACGCTATTTTAAACTTAAATGGTTTGGTTGTCAAACTCTTGTCCATTATGTGACTTTATTTTATTTTATTTTTTTTAAACCATAGACTTTTTCCCAATAAAAGTCAACAAGGTCCAATTCTCTCTACAATTTCATTGACAAATTTGTTCATCTGAATTCTTTCAAAAGGAAAAAACAACGAACTACATGCCTTTGCTTATCCGAATCCTTCCACCATGTAGTTGATTGTTACATTTCATCGACCATAGTGTAGATTCTAATTCAAATTAATCGACTCTGACTCTATAAGTGTATGAAACTTCCACTAAAACGAGATCTAGGTAAGGTAACAAATTTCTCAACATAATTTTATGGAAGAGAAAGAAATCTACAATCGAAGGCCTTACACATGTTCTAGCTAACATTCTTGCCAATGGAGGAGACATATGTACATCACAAAATACTATACTAGAGAAAAACCTTATATATATAACTTAGAATTTAAATATATGGTTCTACACAACTTCAAAAGTCACCATGAGTTGTTTAGGCCTCAAAATCAATAATGGTTCCACATGCTAGGCAAGACCACATCAGATAAGAAACTCTCTGAACTTCCCTCCCCAAAGCTTGGTGACCCTTTAAAAATAGGGTTAGGGTCCATCTTGGTGAGTTGATCTAAAACAACTTTAATGACCTTTTTGTCACAAGAGAAAGGGCTCAAACATGTGCCAAGGTCAGGCATAGTAGCTCCAAAGGTGGGTGGTGTGCTTTTGGTTGACATGTTTGGGTCCATGTGGGTGAGGTGAGAAAAAGTAGGGGTGGTTTGGTTTGGGGTGAAAATGGAGAAGCAGGGCACTTGCTCGTAGTCATGATACTCATTTGTATTGGTTTGGTCAAAGGTGATGTAGGAATCCATTAGGGGTGGGAGAGATGAAGATCTTGTGTCATCATAGATGCTTCCCGTGCCTTGTTTGGCAGCAACTTCTCTGTTTTTGAAAAACATTCTACATAATACCCAATCTTCCTGTTTATTCCAAAAAAAAAAAAATTAGCATAAGAATTGAAGATGAAAAATATCAAAAAACTTGTGCAAACTTGTTTATAAACTGTACACTTCATCAAGCCAAGAAAATCATCTATGTAAAAGATCAAGTTGATTGAACATCATCGAATCACAAAATCATGCAAAAAAATGGACGGTGACGATCTTCTCAAGGAAGGCCCACACCAAGCAAAGAAAAACTATCTTCTTATACTATGAGAATCAAGGAACTTTTATACTATGATTGGATATGTTTGAATCTTGGATTTAAAATATAGAAAACAAAAAAATTCAAAGAGAACTTAAATAAATAAATTTAACTTTTGGCACTTAATTTTTTTTTTTTTTTTTACTTTTTCCTTCTTCTTTTCCTTTACTCCTATAAGTTCATGATCCAAACATAGTTTAAATCTATATCATGAGGAAAGCTCAGCATGTAAAAGATGTTTAACCACAATGGATTAGGTTTTGCTTTTTCATGAGAAGCCCTATAGCAATCATGTAATGGTTAGATTTGAAAACATCAATGCAAGTTCTTTATTTTGTACTTGTTATTTTAGACATTTATGCTTTACACATTCAAACAATACTAAAAAATATTAAACTAATATGGTAGTTAATTAAGCATAATATATTAATATTGTTCCTTATAGGTCATCTTCCATTATGATTTTTAATCCATCTGTTTGTCATGACTAAACGCGACAAAACCGGATTATGTACAGATAAAGAATTTCAATTTGTTACAATATTTTTATTTTTAATGTAAAATGTCTTTCAATTAATCAAATTAGCTAGGCACATAGTATATAGATAAATTCAGGACCACATAGATAAGGACAAAACAAATAATTCATTAAACTAGTTGACAGTTGTGAAATTAATTCTGTATGAAGAGACAAAATTCTATCAACTCAGAGATTCTAATATTTTTTTTTTTATGCCTGTGACTCAGATTCATAATTCAATTAGGCAAGTTGCGTATTACTTAAAGATGATAATTCGTCAAACTTAATTATAAAATAAAAATTAACAAATGTAAAGAGCACAAAAAAAGAAAAAAGAAAAAAAAAAATTTGAGAGGAAGAAAATTAACCTTGACAGAATTAGAGGTTTTAGGAGGGCCAAGGGGTCCTTCAAGCCGGAATTCGTGCATGACCCAATCGGTTTTTCTTCCCTTGGGTGCTCTCCCTTGGTAGAACACTAGGGTTTTCCTCATCCCAACAAGGGTACCCCGGCGTATGATAGGCCGGTCCTTCCCCGTGGCCTTCCAGTACCCAGATACCGTGGCCCTGTTTGTTCGCAGCCCAGTCGCATATTTTCGGTCACGCAGGCTGTAAAAGTACCATTCCTTGCCTCCCACACATGCGGTTTCTATGAAAGGATTCACACACAAAGAAGAAAAAAAGATGAATCAATTGGATGCCTGAATTTTTTTTAACCAACATGAAGTCGCACAGTAATCTTTCATATAACAAGAGTTATATATCCTCAGTCAAATACTTGTTTTCCTCTTTGTGACTCTTCTCTCAAGCTATACGAGGTGGGGGTGAGAACGACCATCATGGTCCAAGTCAGTGTTGTGGACCTCGTAATTAGGGTTGCGATGAGTTAAGTGCCTTAAGGGTGAAATACAATGGTAGTGAAGAATAAAATTTTACCATATTATTGCCAATTATAAGACAAAATCCTGACTTGGCTACTCTATGTGCCGATCATGATTAATCGTCATGTGCAACTCAAACAAACAAAAATTTCAAAGAAACAATCAGAGAAACATCTTGTACAAGGGACTGACTTAGGAATATATATATATATATATATGTATAGTTCCCTTCATTCTTAATTATGTTGTCATTGTGTTTATGCCTCCATGATATATTATGTTCTTTTTATTGCATGAACAACATAATTCAATGAAATCCACCAAAAATATAGCAAGAAAAGTAAAGAGAAAAGAATCTAATGTCAGTATCAATTGCAAGTCACAAGCACCTGTGACAACTTACATGTGGCCAAGCAAGTTGTCGATCATTGGTGAGTCAGTGACACACTACTAAATATCCAATTATATAAGTAAGGGGGAAAAGTGTCAATTTTTGTGCCATATTGGAGAATTATTGGAAGAAATAGCTGTATTTGGCTAGGTGACAAATTTTGATAGGTTTACATCCGTGATATGCGATGCATGAGGTTGAAAATTGCAGCTTAAAGTCTTCCGGAACACTGTTAATTTGAAAACAAAATATTGAAAATGAATTGTACTAAAGAACAAGAGAAATTTGGGAGGTTGATGACATTGACAAACATTATTTTATTTAAATTTAGAACAAAAAATCCATTCCATTAATCCAACATGAACAAAAGTAATATTTTGAAACATTTCCTCATATTGATGTTGTCTCGCTTGTAATGTTTTATTACTATTAATAAAATACTACTTTTTGGCTGAGCAAAAAAAGTTAAAAAGAAAATTGTACACGCGTGTGGTTGACATTAAGTTGAAGGCTTAGAGGATATGACTTTGAGTTCATAATGTAATATCCCAATTGCAGTTACTATCTTTTGGTCGAGAGGAGACGAAGACAAAAGTGTCAAGCTTCATAGAAAAGTAATGAATGAGAAATTTGGAAAAATGAATGACACACATGATATATCTGGCGGCCATTAAACATAACTCATAACTACAATGGAAAATCAAAATATTTATAAATATTTAGCGCATTGATAATAAAGAAAATCAATCTAATTATTTGAAATTATCAGTGTAGTCAACTGGATAAAGAAAAGATCTTACTAAGTTTTATTGATAGATTAATAATTCTCAAATTATTCAAAGAATTATGCGATAAATGTGTAACATTCTTACATATATTTTATCAAAGAGTGCACTTTTTTTTATTAGAATGATAAGAGTAAACTCAAGTATTATAATTTGTAAATGATAAAGCATGCTAATGAAATAGGGAATAAATTTGTTTCTCAAAGCATATTTGATATCAAGAATTATTTATTTATTTATTTATCAGGCATCTGTGCAGCTATGTTGAGGCTATGTTGATTGGTTTTGTGGATGTGTTTTTTTAGTTCTTCTCTTTCTTTTGGTGCCTTTTGATTGGTTTTTCATTAATTTTGGGTCAAGTACTCGCAAATGATTGTGCTTCCTTAACGATGCCAACCTAGTTGGGATTGTTAAGGTTAGCGTTGATACTTTTTGCACTTCCCTCTTTGTTGATGTAAGTTTTTGCATGTATTACTTTCTTCATTAATAAAGTTTCATTTTGTTGATAAAAAAAAAAAAGAATTATTTATTTATTTATGATAAGAGTAAACTCAAGTAATACATATGAAGAATAATGATTCTATTAGCAACCAGTCCAGTTGCTATCACCTCATCCACAGAAAAAGATAGAAATATCCTCCTCATAATTTGTAATAGACACAAACATATATAGGAAAACTCTCCCTCTTTAATAATTTCTTTTTCCTCACCGAGAACTCGGCCCAGGCAAAAATTTTTGGACCCATCCCAGCCATGTGAACACAAGATTCAAAGTGATGGTGATAGAATATTCTTGCAAGATTATTATGTAAAATATCTAACCAAATTATTGTAGGATAGCAGACCCTTCTCTCCTAATAAGTATTATTGGATGTGAGGTTAGAGGGTGATGGCATGTATTCTGATCAAAGGAGTCTGTCCAAGATCAATTCTCAATTATCAACATAAGTAGCTTGACAAGCTAAAACATGCATGCATGATAATTATGGTTATTACAAGAATATTAGCTACTCAAAAAAGAAAAATACTTGGAAAATGAATTGTGTGAATCAAATTTATTCTGGGTATATCGGATTACTCACCAGGAATGTCCCACGGTTCGCACTTGTTGAGGTCGACTTCAATCATAAGAGGGCACTCACAGCAAGTCACCTTCTTCATCAAGTAATCACATATGAGTTCTTCATCCCTTGGATGAAACCTGAACCCTGGAGGTAGCTTGGACTCAACTGTGCTCAGATTGCTCATTTTAGAGAAAGAAAGAGAGAGAGAGTTGCAAATGTGGTGGAGCAAGGGAGAGAATGAACCAAGAAAACCAAATTGGTGTGTGACATATACAAGTACATATTTATAAACAAATGGGAGAGTGGGTAATGCTTTAAAAAAATATTTTAAAAAAACATAGAAGGAGAGGGTGGGTGAGCTACATTGTGATTCATCTTTACTATGTAGTGACAGGCTATGTTACAGACACTCTTTAAAATAAATAAATAAAAAATACTTTTTTATGAAAAATGAATATGCTTTTTAAGTTTTTACTATTGATTAAAAAGATGGCTACTGTCAAACAGAACTTTATATTCAAAAAGAAGATTCTACCGTACACACTCAAAAAGGATGTGTGCAACCTGCAAAAATATTAGAAATATCAAAAATTCTATCAAATGTTTTATATAGATGTGAGATGTACATTGTATAGATCTCATATTTATATGAGATATTTGATAAAAATTTTGATAAAATTTTTAATATCTCTAACATTACACGTATTACATGTAAGTTCTGATATTTTATGTAAGCACCCTCGTTGAGAAGTTAGAAGGTTAGTTAAAAAAAGTGGATTTTTTTTTTAATTTGTGTTAAATTTTTTACGTTTCCTCTTCTTTCAGAACTGTTTTTGTATGGGTAGGAAATAATGTTCTCGTGTAATTTTATTGATCAAGTTTGTGCTCCTTCAAACATCGTTGCTTTACTTCCTGAAAACACAAACGTGAGCAAGTTGACAGGTGTTTGCCGGATACCTCTCTGATGCCTACGTCAGCAAAATAGACAAATAAACAAAAGCCCTGTGTATTCGAGAATTGTACATAGGTTTTGTGAACTTTTATAGTTTTTACCTGGCACAATCCTAGTAGGACTCTTATTCCTAAATGTAGAGCCCACTTAGGAATCACACTCCTGAAAAATAATACTTATCCTTCAACACCTCATCACTGCTTAAACCAAGTGAAATGGTTTTACCATGGTTGGATAGCAGTACAACCGAGCTAACACTAGCCCTTTGTCATATTTAATCCGGCGCCTTCATATGCAACACATAGCTCGGCTCTTGTTCATTTGTTCATCGGTTTTGTTTGTTTAGACCGACCTAACTGTAGTAGGCTTTGACCGAGCTAACGAGGGCAAGGTCCACCTTAAGAAGCCCAAATACCTTAGTTCCGAATACTATGACCGAGCTAATTATCACTACTCCGACTGGCGACTGTAATCATACTTGGACCGAGCTAACAACAAGGTCTACTTTGCTAAGCCCTTTTCACCACGGCCCATAGAATGGTCCATTACTATGCCTGGACCTAGCTCAACCCTAATGTACATAAAAACTCTCTCTCAGTTTTGAAAATCACTTAAAAGAATCAAACAAAATTAATATTCAAAAGTTAACTATTTTTTATTTTTATTTTTATGTTTTTTCATAAAAAACTTAAAATAATTAAAATTGTCACTTCTCAAGAAGATCTTAAGATTAAAAAAAATTAAAATTGAATAACATTTTTGAAAGACCAACATCTTTCTTTTTTTTTGTCTTTGATGGATTTTTCTTAAATGTTTTATTTTTTACTTTTCTAATTCATCTAATCAAATAGAATATATAAGTCTAAGCCGGGAAGAACTTTTTAGCTTGACTTTTTAAATATTTTAATCTATTTAAAAATTTTCGTTTAGGATGAACTTGACTTTTTTTGTAATTTTGTGAAAATAAAATAAAATAATTATAATTTAAATGTGATATTTTATCTAATTATTTTTTAACCTTTATCTTTTAGTGAGCTAAATTAGTTCCAATGATCGTGCCAAACGGAAGCTAAAGTTTTTTTATTTTTTTTAAATTCACTAAAAAGAAAAAAAAACAAAAACAAAAAAGTCAATTCCAAATAGTACTCTCGGAGTACTTTAATAAATAAATATTATGTAGATATGTTAATATTTTAATTAAAAGTTTCGATTCATTCGATCGGTTCAGGTTTGGAATCCTGTATATCCACCATCTTGCCAAAACCAGATTTTTTGAGAAATTTGAAGGCCACATCCGTGCACCCGAAATCACCCATTTAAGCTCGAGTTGGGGATGTTGACAATTATTTTTTAAGTATTTTTTTTTTCTTATTATTTTAGAATTTTTAAAATTTTTTTTTTACGTTTCCTCTTCTTTTAGAACTGTTTTGAAAATCACTTAGAAATTTTTTGTTATGAAAAAATTTTGTAAAGAACTACAACTTTGACTCGTAGGTGAAAATTTACCATATTATCATAATAGTATTATGAAATCCTTGTTAACGTAATTAAAAAGACACAGTATGGAGGGCTATAAAAAAAAAATTTAAAAGTCAACAAATTATATAAAAAGATCACAGATCTCATTTTCTTTATTTTTTTTGTATTTTTTTATTGTAAAAAATCATTCTAAATATACTAATTTCTTTTACTTTATATTTATCTAAAAAATTAAAAATTTATTAAAATAATTTGTTCCCAAACGAAATGACACTTTTTAAAATAAATAAATAAAAAGTATTTTTTTATGAAAAATGAATATGCTTTTTAAGTTTTTACTATTGATTAAAAAGATGGCTACTGTCAAACAGAACTTTATATTCAAAAAGAAGATTCTACCGTACACACTCAAAAAGGATGTGTGCAACCTGTAAAATTATTAGAGATTTCAAAAATTTTATCAAATGTCTTATATAGATGTGAAATATACATTGTATAGATCTCATATTTATATGAGATATTTGATAAAAATTTTGATAAAATTTTTAATATCTCTAACATTACACGTATTACATGTAAGTTCTGATATTTTATGATATTATACCATTGTCAATCATAATAAGAGACCAAACATCAATTGCAAGATAACCGAACAACTCTTCCATCATAACTATTTTAGTTATAAAAGACAAAATAAGCTATTTTAGTCATAAAAAATAAAACATCACATTCAACCAATAATCATTACACTTTTCTCTTACAAAAAAAGCCAAAAAAGTCAAAAAGTCATTCCCAGACTTTTAGCGCAGGCTAAAATAGCAAAAAAAGTCAAAAAGCCAACCTACTTCCCAAACCGACCCTAAATAACAATCACAAAAAAATCATAACTATGTCACAGCCAATATTATAAGAGTCATAATCAAATCATAACCAACACCACAATAAGTCTTAATTAAAAATTGAGATTTTTATTGATAAATCCCATTTAGAAGTGTTTTAACCAAAGAAGTCGATGAAGGAATTTTTTAGTCCCATGTATGTATGGTTTTATTCCATTAAGTCATTTTTCTTGATTTACACTATTTTCTTGGACACTTATGCCTTTATATTTAATTTTGATACCCTTATAAATATTTTTTGAATGGTTAGCAATTTTATAATGTGAACATTCATATTTTAAAATTCACATTGATAGGAATGTAAAATTGTCCCGTGGGCGGCCCGAAACCCGCCCGCGAGCCGGGGTGGACCCGGCCCGTTAACAATGTGAATATTCACATTGACATGTTAACATTCACATTAATAGGAGTGTAAAATTGACCCGCGTCCCGTGGCGGCGGGAAACCCACAGGCGGCCCATGGGCCACCGGTCCGGCACGTTAACAATGTGAATATTCACATTGACATGTTAACATTCACATTGATAAGAGTATAAAATTGGCCCGTGGCTCATGGGCAGCCAAAAGCCTCCTCTGCGGCCTGGGACGGGCTCGACCCGGCCCGTTAATAATGCGAATATTCACATTGACATGTTAACATTTACATTGATAGGAGTGTAAAATTAGCCCACGCCCTGTGGCTGCCCGAAACCTGTCCACGGCCCGTGGGCGGCCCGAGGCGGGCCCGACCCACCCTGTTAACAATGTGAATATTCACATTGACATGTTAACATTCACATTGATAAGAGTATAAAATTGGCCAGCAGCCCAGGGCGGGCCCGACTCGGTCCGTTAACAATGTGAATATTCACATTGATATATTAACATTCACATTGATAAGAGTGTAAAATTGGCCCGCAGCCCGTAGGCGGCCCGAAGAACGACTGCAGCCCGACCCGTGACATTGTGAATATTCACATTGACATGTTAACATTAACATTGATAGGAGTGTAAAATTTGCTCGCTGCCCGAAGCATGCCCGCGGCCTAGGGTAGGCCCGGGCCGGCCCGTTGACAATGTGAATATTCACATTGACATGTTAACATGCACATTAATAGGAATGTAGAATTGGCCCGCGGCCCGTGGGCTGCTCGAAGCCTGCCCACGGCCCTGGGCAGGCTCTTTTGGGTCCGGGCCCGAGCCGATGGGTCGGGTCGATGGGCCTGGGATTAGCCTCAGGCTTGGGTCGGGCTTGGGCGGGCCTAGCCATTTTTTTTTTAATTTTTTCTACCAAAATTTTATTATTTTCCAAAAAAAAGACACTAGACCTCGACGCGGGTCGGGCCTTGGACCGAGTCTTGAATGGGCCTTAACCGGGCTGATGGGCCGGGCCGGGCTTCAAAGTGATGGCCCAGGCCCTAGTCTAGGGTCTCGGACTAGGCTCGAGCTCGGGCCCAAACGAGCATTTCCCGAGCCGCAAGCGGGCTTCAGGCAGCCTACGTTCTTTTTGACTATTCCATTAAGTCCTATTTGAGATAAGAAGACCAAAATACCATTTTCATCTACATATATTCTATTTAGTCCACATTATTTTCTTATGTTTCAATAAGTCCTATGGGAGACATAATTACCAAAATACCCATAATGTGAATATTCACATCGTCAATGTGAATGTTCATATCATCAATGCGTAGAGGCCTGGGCCGGCCCATATCGAGCCTCGTGGGTGTCCGAAAAAATCAGGACCGACCCGGCCCGGCCCACAGGCCAAAAAATTAAGCCCAGGCCTAGCCCTAGCACAAGGGTATTCCTGCTTTGGACGGGCCAATGGATCGAGCATCGGGTCGGGCCGGTCGGCCTAGGCCTAGCTTCGAGCTTAGGCCGAGCTTGGGCTGGCCTGGCTTTTTTTTTTTAATTCTTTTTAATTTTTTCTACTAAAATTTTATTATTTTTCACAAAAAAAGGCATTGCGCCTCGGGCGGGCTGGGCCTTGGACTGAGCCTTGAATGGGCCTTAAGCGGGCTGAT